CCTAGTAAACAGCATTTTGGTCAATTATGCACCATTAATCAGGGTTCTCACCAGTGTATTTCAGCATAGCAGAGAGCTCAAATTTGTCCCCCCCGCGCTGAACTTCAGACTGCCAAGCTCATTCCTATCAGCCAATATACTAATGGTCAGAGGTTTTTTTTCTACCCAATAAAGGCAGCATTGCTGCACTGCTGCATAGCCGGCTAACAGGTGGATCAGAGCAACCTCCCTGCATCAGTCTGATAGTTTGTATATTAAGAAAAGATATGAACCTCTTCTCCAACTTGAGCAGAAAAAGGAGTGAGCTCAATTAGCAAACAAAAAAAAAGAAAGACAACATAGGCGCAGCATAGAATAAACAAAGAAAACTCCACCCCCTCTGCTTCACTCTGTTAAACCAAATGCACACAAATATTCTTGTCCTGATTTATCTGGAAAAACCCCCTCAGTAATTTCTCAGCTCCAAGAATAGCATCTGAGGGATGATGCGTATGAACTTCCTGCAGGGCCTCTGGATCCCAAACAACACACATAAAAAAAAAAAATCTCAATACTATCTATAATAGAGGATCAGCAGCAAACCAGGAGAGACTGAATCAAATAAGCACAATATTGCAACCATGAAAATCAGACTTAAAGCGTTTTTGAACAGGCGATTGAGCTGCCGGCAGGAGAATCACACAGGAACAGGACCAAGGCGATGAAATGTCCTGTTGTTTCACAAGCCGAACAATTAAACCCAGAGGACACACAAAGGTGGCAGCACTTGCAGCAGAACACAGATGTTCAGAGAAATGATGGAGGAGGGGAACAGGTGGATACATCAGCACAGCAAACCAATAAAACCAGTCAACCCATTACAACCAGTCCAGGAAAAAGCCTGCCTCACCTGTGTCTGTTCTCATCGTGTCCTCCTTGGCCATGTATGATCACCTGCCCTGAGCCATGCTTCCCCTCTTTAGGCGAGTCGATGTGCGGGATCAGCACGTCTTCCAGGCCCAGATCGAAGCGCTTGTGCTTGGAGTTGTCCGGGAGGAAAAAGAAGGCCCCGAAGCATAAGGTGATGAAGGCACTGAGAATGAGGAGGAGGATGAATTTCTCCGACAGCCTCAAAGTAGCTCTGTGGTGCGTGAAGGAGGAGGCGCCCGGCGACAGAGTGGGTATCCTACGACCCGACAGCGGCAGCAGAGCCGGCGTCGTCATAGTTTCAGGGGTTCAGTTAAGAAAATAAACTCCAGTAGGGGGTCAGTGGGGGTTCACAGGTGCCACTGAGGAGGGGATGTAGCAGCATGCGTCGGCTGCTTGACTTTATTATCTCATCCCTGCGTCGGAGCGTCGGGAAGCAAAAGAGGAAGGAGGTACGTCGGCGAGGGAGCGGCTAGTCGAGGAGGAGCGGGTCATGATGGATCTGGAAAGACATGACAGAGGGGTTAGCTAAAGAAACTGTTAAGAAAATGTGGGAAAAAACCCTTCCTGGGTCTTATTTTAATTTCTAATTTCTGAAAAAAAATTATAAATATACTTGATATTCAGACTTTCCGTTGTTTTTAAAATACGTTTCTTTAGCCACCAAGGTGGAGAGCAGAAAGATAAGAGAGCTCACCAACTCTACAACGCAGCTACCATCAGATGCTGTCCAATAGCTTAACTGCTGTTTATAAGAAAGGCCAAAAAAATAAAAAATAAATAAAAAGCTACTCCTGTCCTGCCATCAGAATCATAAGAGTTTTCTGAACTGCAGGGGGACTTTAACTGAAACCCGTAATCAGACAACGCTGAGTGCACTTTCACAAAAAGAGCCATTTGCTCCTTTTTAAGCTGCTTTGTTCAGGCAGGTGTGAAAGCTCTGCTGAACTCTACTGCTGACGATGGTCCACCTAAAAAGCCAAACCTCTGATTTGTATAATCTACGCATGGCCGCATGCAACATTTGTTAACACAGCATCACTTAAGTCTTCTGCACACACTCAAAAAATTTGATTGTCCAACTGCATGATGTTAAACAGAATAGCAGACATAGAATTAGCTTTAAAGTGTGCAAAGGAACTTGAAGAAATGATCACAATAATTAATTTGTTTGCTGAGGCAGAGCATTTATAAGATTTATTCAGCTTCTTTCCTCCAATTTCTCCAGGAAGTGATGTGGAACCACCACCATCATATGGCTGCACACATGGTGGCTTATTCAGACCCCAAAAGCTTAAAGATTACCAAAAACAGAATCAGAACAAAATCAGAAGAACCATTAAAACGATAAACAATCCTCTGCTACCTCGCCATGGGAAAAAAACAAAACCAAAGTAATAATCCTTATTCCTCCAGCAATGAGAAAAATTACATATTTCCAGGAGGCTTAAGTACGGAAGAGGATTAGGGCCAGTGAAAAACAAATAAAAATGTTAACTGAGATATTTCAGAA